GGGTCGCCGAAGGCGAAACTGACTGGAGGGAGGCAGGTGCGCGGTGGCACCGCCCTAGACCTCCGCCACTGGGACACAGCCCCTGTGGCATTGACGGGGCGAGACGTATTCTCCAGATCTCACTTGGAGAACTTGTTGGATTCCCTCGCCTGCCTCATCTCACTTCAGGTGATCCGAATTTGCAGGGATTCCCAGCGGAGCCCTAAGGAGCAGCGTCAAAAAGAGTTGTGACTAAGGCACTGGGCATTTAAATACTTTGTTACTAGCCTGCAGGAGTCTTGGCTGTAACAGTTTTGGGAATTGGGTACTACCACTGTACCTACTTTAGTACTTGTGGCCTGGTGAGTGTAGTTACTCGTGGTATTCTCCCTGTAGGTGTGTACTTAGAAAAATCTTTGGAAACTTTGAAAATGTTTTGCAGATATCAGTCCATTTGTTTTCACTTTAGATTTGTCGAGAACTAAACTAATGGAGGACTGGATACTGTTTGATAAAGGGGAAAATAGAGGCAGAGTTGACATTTTCCATCCTCATTACACACAAAACGAACTTCTAAACTAATGTCGCACACACCTAGTCTTTCCCTCTTTCCGCTTGTTGCAGAGGTCTGTCCAAAACAAATGTCATTGTGGTATTTCGTAGATGTGATGTTTTTAAAATGTAGTCTTCTGAATTAACTTTATTACTGTGTTTTATTTACTTTGCTGCTTACCTCTACAGGGAGGTGTACTTACTGTAGGTTTTTAGCAAACTGATTTTAGCTCTTCTCATTTGTTACAAAACCTTGGAAGTAAACTGTTTTTTCTCTTCTAGGCTGTAACAGCGAGGCAAATTAGTTTTATATTAGGATTGTATGGATTGTGAATACTGTGATTCTTGACAATTGCATTTACCATTTCATTTCTCGTGGGAGCTACCTATCACCTGTCAGCTCTGGCAGCCCCCCCCCCCACTTTTGAGTATAATTACTCCCTTTGTTGTATTTCTTCCACAAGACTGCAAATTCAGTGAGGGCAGGATCTGGTATGTTTCATTTTTTTATTCCTCAGAGCCTGGGGTGGGCATTGGAGTAATTTTTGAATGTAAATGAAACTTCTTAAATTTTAGCTACAAAACTTTTGTAATTTTAAAGGAGATTGTGGTGAGTATAGATCCCTACAAAAGCAAGCAAACAAAACCAAAAAACAGTCCCCCCCAAAAAACAAAAAAAGCAATAATGTAGGCGCCACAGAGTGCTACTGCTAGTGCTGAGTATGGTGCAGAGGAAATAGGAAAAAAAAAAAAGTTTCAGCTTCAAAATAGATTGAATGGAAATTGGTTTGGTGTTTTCTTTAGTCATAATTAAAAAGGTAATGAGCACCAATGCATTTATTAACATTTAGTTTTTACCTTAAGTTTTTTTTGCTACAAGATTAAATTTTTTAATATTAATCCAGGATGGAGTTCTAAATTTAAATTCTGAAGTTGAACAGCCATAAAATTGTCTTGTTTTTCCTAACAGGTGGTGTTCCATAAGATGTCACCCAATGAGACCCTCTTTTTGGAAAGTACCAACAAGATTTATAAAGACGACATTTCCAATAGCTCCTTTGTGAATTTCCAGATTTGGGATTTTCCTGGGCAGATGGACTTTTTTGACCCAACCTTTGACTACGAGATGATCTTCAGGGGAACAGGAGCATTGATATATGTCATTGATGCACAGGTAGTTAGAAATAATGATGTTTACTTCTCTTCCCTGGTGGCAAAAAGATGTAGAAACAACAGAAAGTTGTTTATCTTCTTTGTCATTTGTTTACAGCTCTTTTCTTTGCCAGTAGATTCCATAACACATTGTGATGTGCAATTGCGGAGGTGCTTTGGGAACAGGCATGTCATTGCAGTTTGAAAGAATCAGTTGGTTAGGAGATGTAGTTTACATTGTGAGTCCTAGTTAATGAGCAGTTAACATTGGCTTTCTGGTAAATTTTGTTACACATTATTATTAGTTACTATTATAGTGCTATAACTCATCAAAAATATCCTGTCAGTGGCCATAGTATAAGATGGACTGTGAGAACTGAGTCAGTATATATTAGAGTGATTAGTTTCCTTAATTGTCCAAATTGAATTTAGTCCAACAAGCATTTATTGAAGACCTAACCTGTGGCAGGCAGTCAGATGAAAGGTACATGTCCCTATTCTTAGGAAGCTAGCTTTCTATAAGCTTAAATATTAGTTAGGAATGAGTTCTGAGTGATGAACCCTATAATGGATGCTTTCACATGCATGATCTTATTTAATTATCACAACATTGTGAGGTTGGTATTGTAATTCCGGTGTTACAGATGAATAAACTGAGATCACAGAGTTGAAGCAACTTGCTTTAAGACACAAACCTAATAAATGGCAGAGCTGGGATTACTTTAAAAAATGTTGGGAAGAATTGTCCATGTCCCTTTTCCTTTATACTATCAGTATTTAAAATTACAGGCATTAATTTGGGAATTGAATTTTTTATCTTAAGTTGAAGAACTACTTATTAGTATGTTTGAGTGCTTGAATATTTATGAATAATTTAGGATAATATATTTTCTGTGGTTGGGGAAAGAGGTGGTTTGAGGCTTTCTTAACTCATTACTTGCCTTTTGTAAGATTCTTTTTAAAAAATATTTTGTTCTGACTTACAGGATGACTACATGGAGGCTTTAACAAGACTTCACATTACTGTTTCTAAAGCCTACAAAGTTAACCTAGACATGAATTTTGAGGTTTTTATTCACAAAGTTGATGGTCTGTCTGATGATCACAAAATAGAAACACAGAGGGACATTCATCAGAGGGCCAATGATGACCTTGCAGATGCTGGGCTAGAAAAACTCCATCTTAGGTAACAATATGTGTGTTTGATATGAGAGCCCTGAAAAAACAACATGTGTGTTTGATATGAGAGCCCTGTAGATGTATTCCCATCTCTGTCATTACAGGCACCATAGTTTTCTGTTACTGGTATGCCCATTCCCAGTTCTGAAATGTTTTTGGTCTTCTCTGTTCCAAGCTATCCTGGGAGCCTGGTGTTATTAAGAAGTTACTTTTTACATTTTCCTGGTAATTGAATCCATGTGAAATGTTTCCATTGGTGCTTTTGCAGATTCATCTCAAGAGGCTCTGTTTAGGGATTTCCCCACTCTTAGTTTTCTCAAACTCTGGCCACCCGCAGCCCCCCTCCAGTTGGCCCTAGGCAGGGAATCTCTTGTCATATTTGTTGTGGAAGTCTAGCTTGAGTTTTCATAGTATCTTTCTTAGTAGGAAGAGTCATTTATAAATGGGGTATGCTTTAAAGTCTGGACTGATTCTAATGTATCTTAGATTTTAAAACACTTTATACTTATATGAAACTCTAAAGTTTGAGTTAAATGGATTTATTCTATAAGTTTGTATACTATTGCTATTAAATAGTTTAGAGGACTGCTGATTTATAATTAAACTACTGTTAGAGAACACCAACTATTTAGGACTGATGACTTTGTGTTTGCTTTCTAGAAGTATATAAGGAATATTTTTGTACATTTTATTTTTTGTGATATAGGTAGAAATGAGCATTTAAAAATACCAAGAAAATGTTCTTTTAATGATAGAAACAAAAAGGGAGAGCAGAGGAGAGACACAAGTGTAGTAATTTCCTTATCCCAGATCTGTTATAGTGACTTCCCTATAGGCTCAAGCCATCCCTCCTACTACTCGTAATATTTTCTGGGCCCCAGAATCCAAAATGTTTCAGTTACCCCTAGGAAACCATGTAGAAAAGTCTCACTGACTTCTGTTTTGCCTGGATTAAAATTTTAAAATATTTTATAGCAGTTCATACTTAAAAAAGTTAAATTCAGCGGTGTTTGTAAGAGAAACTAAAACTGTCTTCATGTAAAAATCCCTCAACCTTATATTTTAGGAATCCACTATTAATATTTTTTATTTGAATTTTAAGCCATGCTTATCCTGTCTTCTCAGGTATTCATGGGGATCTTTCTGATTGCCTTTACTCCATGTGTCTGTCCCTTTTAATGGCATCGCACCCCATGGTAACACTACCCCTTACCCTAGGCCTAGGAGGGCCCTAGGCCTTGTTAACCTAAGTAGAATTTTGCAGCAGATTTTTACTATTTATCTGTTTATTTTTGTGGTACTGGGGATTGGAACAGGATCTCTTGCATGATAGGCAAACATTCTACTACTGAGCTATATCCTCAGGCCCCATCAGGCTATTATTTAGTACTAGCAGATCTATAGATGAAGCTCTGTTTGATTTCCAGTTTCTAGATGCTCAGCTTAACTAAAATGCTGTATATTTGCAGATTCTTCTGTTCCCATCCACCTCAAAGAGGGCCCTCTTATTTGCTAACCTTTTTTACTGAAAGGAATCACTGAAATATTTCTTTCTCCCTAATGTCTCTGAGGTCATTTGACTTTGTGTGCTCTGGTGCTCCAGTGCTCTCATATCTAGAGTCTAGTCCCTTACATAGGATTAGGTTCTTACATCAGCTTCTTGAAAGTTTTTAAATTATTTATAAAGTGGTGAACTATTATTAAAGCTATATAATTCTCCATATTTCATATTCCTTTTTTGTTAAATATGTTTGTGTTTTTAGAGTCTCAAAAAGAGGTTTGAATTAGCCTAAAGACTACTGACACACTTAACATGGGTCAAAGTAAAGTATAAGAGCATAAAATATGGCTTGAGGTGTTATTTTCTGAATTCTTCTTACTCTTTTTGTCTAAAATGACTCTGTACTATGTACATATAAATATATTGTGGATACAATTATATAATGAAGGGTATACTTCTATGTGAAAAAGCAGGTGGAATCACCCAGTGTTTAAATTGTTAAAGGCCTTTCAGTTACATGTTTTGCTAAATCTGTGTATGTTACTTCTTTATACCCTTTTAGGCCTCTGGACCCCTGTTCTGTTCTCTACATGGCCCCAGCTTCCATCCTCCTTACTATGCCTTTATTTTTACCTAAATTCTAAGCACCAGTTGTATTTGTTGAGGCAATGAGCTTGTAACTATGAGTAAGATTGTCTCTTTTCTCATGGAGCTTATGCTCTGATAAATGACACAGCTCAAAAACACCTGTAAATAAATAATGTGGTATAATGTTAAGTACTTACCAATGCTATGAGGAAAAATTATGGCAAAGGGATAGAAAGCATCAGGTATAGGATTATTGTTTTAGGTAGGCTGGTCAAGACAGAACTTTTATTTGTTGTTAGAAACTTGATTATTATTTAATAAATGAGACACATCGCTTCTAGTTTTTTCTTGGGTTTGAATCTTGGATTTTGTTATAGTTATGTGCTTAGGAGACCAAGATTTACAGATCAAGTTGCAAAGACTTAGGGAAACATTCAAGTTTCTCCATCTGAACACTCTTTCCTGGTTGCTCCCGCAGTTGCTCTCTATAAATGGTGTAAAGGGAGTAATAGCCACAGACCAGGTGGGAGACTGTGTTTGTCGTATGAAATGATGGGGATGGTAGACAAGTTTATTTGAACTTATTGAAATCACATGCTTAGAAACTTAAAATTTTATATACTATGATAGTTGTCACTAAAGTTTTAGGTATTTTCTACATTAATCATAACCATATTATGTTTTTCAGCTTTTATTTGACTAGTATCTATGACCACTCAATATTTGAAGCCTTTAGTAAGGTGGTGCAGAAGCTCATTCCACAACTGCCAACCTTGGAAAACCTATTAAATATCTTTATATCAGTAAGTGAGCTCTTTAATTCTCCATAGTTTCTGATACCATTTTTGTTAAATATATTTGTTTTCACTTCTCTAAAAATTGGAACTAGAATTAGCTAAAAGACTACTGACACACTTAACATATAAAATAAGAGCAGTAAATATGGGTTGAGGTATTATTTTCTGAATTCTTAGTTTCCTCCCCATTTTATCTTTAAGGAGAACTACTAAAAAACTTCTATATGCTTTTTTTTTTTTTGGTGGTACTTGGGACTGAACTTAGGGTTCAGTCTCTACCCCTTACTCTACCCCTGAGCCATCTCCCCACCCCTTTTTATTTTTTGAGACAAGACCTCACTAAGTTGCTGAGACTGGCCTTGAACTTGCAATCTTCCTGACTCGACTTCAAGTTGCTGGGATTATAGGCAAGCACACTGAGGCATGCCTGCCTTTTTATACTTCCTTTAAAAATATCTTTGTGATGCTTGTTTCCTAAAGAAAGAACTAGAAAAGGCTGGGTGTTGGGACTGTGACTCAATATCATTTTATTCTCTGCCTCATTAGAAGTCACATTAAGAAATTGATCATTTCCTCACCCATGGTAGTCTATTTTTTTTGTAGGGAGGGTTACCCAGAATTGAACCCAGGGGCACTTAAACACTGAGCCACACACATCCTCAGTTCTTTTTCATATTTTATTTAGAGACAGGGTCTTGCTGAGTTGCTTAGCATCTCCCTTTTTGCTGAGGCTGATTTTGAACTCTTGATCTTCCTGCCTCAGCTAGGATTGCAGGCATGCGCCACTGTGCCCAGCCACCAACTGTAATCTTAGCTTTATATTTTGTATTCTTATTCTGAGGTGTCATCTTAAGAAAAAAAGGATTGCTCCCACACCCCAATAAATTTAACATATAGCTGTTATATTTTCCAAACATTACTTTGAAAGGATTCAGTGTGTGGTGGCCTCTTGGGCTTTTGGGTTATGCCAGATGTTGACATCAAACTGTAATTATTTTGTGTTTTACTGTTTGCCCACATAAGGACTTTCTGGTAGCAAGATCACTCAAATTGGAGATGGATTATAATTACTAGAAAGGTTTATAGACAATGTAGTGTAGCTTGATTTTTAGAGAATTTTTTTGTTAAATTTTTTTAGTGATCTCTTAGAAAATAATTCATTTAAATAATAAAGAGGAATAAAAAAATTTGACAATCATGTCAGTAAATCAAAGTAGAGATATAATTCAACTTTTATTCCTTGAAAATAGAAGAGTTTCTCAAACAAGTACTATTTGTGTTTTGTTGTTGAGTTGTACAATTAGAAATGACCTTGTATGTTATTTAATAATTTAAAGTCTTTGATTAGTTTCAAAATATGATTCTTAAAAGAAACTGAACACTTCCCCAATTTTGTTTTTTCAAGAATTCAGGTATTGAAAAAGCTTTTCTCTTTGATGTTGTCAGCAAAATCTACATTGCAACAGACAGTTCCCCCGTGGATATGCAGTCTTATGAACTTTGCTGTGACATGATTGATGTTGTAATTGATGTGTCTTGTATATATGGGTAAGTTTTATATATAATTCTGCAAGACTTCAGACAGGTGGGAAACTAACAGCTCTACTTGTTGAGGGAATTTCTGAGGCTTCTGGCAAGTACTGTATGAAACGGGATTGTTTTGATGGTAGTGCTTCAACTTGGAGCAAGACTTCTCTTAAAGAGGCCTGCTGGCTCTTACTCCTTCAGAGGGCATGGAAAAGAGCAGTTGGAAAATGTGATGAGTGCTGATTTCTTTATCTCTGAAAGTTTCTTCTGCCATTACTTGAGGAATTTGCACTGTGTCTTCTCACTACTTGGACTTAGCTAGATCAAAAAGCTGTTAATTTATTTAAATTTCTGAATGATAAAGTGCTGGTCCTAATTTAACCTCAGGCTTTATGAAATGATGGATTCTAAATCTTTCAGAGAGCAAAGAAATAAAGTAGTCAGAATTTTAGATGTAGAAGGACTTATGCATATAAAAATTTAACCTATACATCTGAGTTTCCAAAACAAATCTCTAAAATGTGAGCTTTTCCCATATGTAAATTTACAAAACTATGTAGAAATTTATGAAATATAGCAAATAGTGATTTTATAGAATAGGTACCAAGAAGAATGAAAATTTGGGGGAATTATTGGTGTTTCAAAAGCCAGTAACATTCTGTGTGTCCTCTGATAGTCCTGATTCCTTTTTATTAACATCTTAATTCCCAAGAAGTTTTCATCTGCTTTTTATCTTTTAATACCTGTATCCTCTGTTTCTCTTCTCTGCTTCACCTCTGACCACATCCTTCTTGGTCTGTCTGATTTATCAATGTTTTTCTCCAGCTGCCTCTGGACAGGAGAGTGCATTTGTCCCCCCCCCCCACCCAGTGTTGGGATTAGAACTCAATTCCTTTTGTGTAAACTACATACACCTCCAACCCTGTCTTATCCATTCATGACCTGTCTATTTTTATTTCTTATTCCTTTTTCACTTTTTTTTTATTACATGTTCTCCCTTGTTTTATATATGTAGTGAAAAATGAGACTCGTTATCTCTTCTATTTCTCAATAAAGTTTTATGTTCCTCACTTCTCATTTTTTGTGTGAGTATGTGGTGCTGGAGATTGAACCCAGGGCCTTGTGCATCAAGGCAAGCACTCTAGCAACTGAGCTATATCCCCAGCACCCCCACTCCTAATTTTAAAAATGGATGAGTAAATGTTTGCTTTTTCTTTAAGACAAATCAGAATTTCATAAACTAATCATTTTGCAATTTAAAAGTCACATTTAGATTTAAAATTTATAAAGTACATAATGAAGTACAGACATTATAATGTACCTGTAAAAATGAAGAAAATAAGTTCATTATCTCACTATTCTCAACATAATCTGTGCATGCAATTTGATGTGCTTAATTATAGTTAATTTGTTTCTTACTTGACTCTTGATTTACATTTTTTGAAGGGGGACTACATATAATTCTGGCAATGCTGGTTTAATAAATGAAGTAGCTTTTAGCTCCTATAAGTCTCACTTTGCAAGTATCAGCATGCCACAGTATATTTAGTAGACTATATTTCTTTTAGTTTTTATATTTAATCACTTTCTACTAATAGCAGTTTTCATATCCTTAGATCCTTTTTTATAGACTATGTCAGTGCATATTTATATGAGGGAAGATTTAAAGCCTGCCGTATTCCATGCATCCTGTGTGACAAGGGGAAGGTGTCTGAATGCATGGAATACTGCTGGTCACAGAAGGGCAAAGAGTGTGTTGTGGACACTTGGTATGCATTTTATCGCAGGATATCTTCTACAAGCTTTTCACTTCATGGTTTGAGTACTAACCAGGTTCCTTTTCCCTCCCCTCTTGTTTGCAGCCCTTAGGGTGTGCTGCTTCTAAGTCTTGTTCCTCATGGCTATGACCTTTCAGCTTCTGCTTTGGTAATTTCTGACTTAAGCTTCAGATAATCATATTTGCCTAAAGGTCATAAAAACTATCAAAATAGGAAAACATAGAAACTAAATATTGTGCTTTAAACACACTGTTTGAGCAAGCTTTGTCTAAGGCCATTAGCATATTTTTCTTAATTATCAAAATAAAATCTGACTAATCCCTGGACTTTGAGTAGAATATGCCTCTTTTTTTTTTTTTTTTTTTAAGTGCTGGGGATTGAACTTGGGGCCTCCATGTGCTAGGCAAATGCTCTATTACTGAGCTACATCCCAAGTCCAGAATGTGCCTGTCGTCTTTCATCGTAGTATGAAATTCAAGATCATATACTCTCCTGACATGAGAAACTTTGCAGCTTCTTTCAGCTGCTGGCTGTGGTTACATAGGGTTTAAGGAGTCATTGTCAGGGTTGTCTGTGTCAGAGCCTGTTGTCAGAGTTAGCTCCTGCTCTCATTTTCCATGCAGCACAGAGAAGGATCTACTCAGGTCTAACTATAAGCTGAGAACACATAGCTTTTATGACTTCCTCTTTTCCATCAGAAGGAAGTAGATTTCTTTTATGTTCTTGCAGCAAATGACACTTAACTTCCTCATTGGTCTACCTTCCCAAATCAACTTTATTTATACTAGCTAGGAAAAATACTGGAAACGGCATGGAATTGAGTTAAATACTTCTAAGTTTGAATCCTGACATTGCCAGAGGTCACTTTACTTTTAATGAACTTGAGTTTTTACATCTTTAAAATGAGTATAGTTTTCTTACTTATTGAGCTTATTTTGACTTGTTTCAGAAAGGACTAGAAGTGGTTAGATATAGATATATTAATTCTTGTTCTCTGGGTGTTATGAGGATAAAATTAACATATAAGAAGGTAAGTTGTAAGGTTCAGAAGAGTTTAAAAAAAGAAGCCCTCACTCATGAAAAACATACATAGAAAATACATGTAGCCCCAGTTCTTGGAAGGCTGAGGCAGGAGGATCACTAAGAACCACAAGTTTGAAATGAGCATGGGTAACATAATGAGACCCTCATCTCCAAAATAGGTGAAAGAGAAAAATCAGTGTTCTCATCAATGACAACTATTAACAGTTTCTTTTAAATATGTTTCCTTCAGTTTCTATCTTTCTTTTTTTTTTTTTTTGAGGAAAAGTACGTGTTTTAAAAAGGCAATTTTGAAAACTCTTTAATTCCTAGCAATTTCTAGAAATTAATTTCTAGCAATTGTTAGATTTTTGCTAAACAAGTATATCAGAGAATATGTCAGAGCCCATCTCTAAAAATTGTTGATTTCAACATAATTCCTCCTGGACATTAGCTGGGGTTGTTCTTATTTTCTTGCTTTTGTCAGAAGCAGGGGGGAAAAAAATAGTCTTATTGAGAAAAGGTGTGATTGGCCTGGCACGTAAAGGTGTCTTGAAGAAACTGCTGAGGTGGTGGTAGGTCCCAGAGGAGCCCTGTGGCTTGAGGGAAGTAAGGAGAGGAGACCTCTTAGCTGTGCCCACAACATACAACCTGAGCAAGTAAGTAGCTCCTGGAGCACAGAGGTGGAATGTTGTGATTTCCCTGGTTAACATCTACCTGTATCTTCACTTTTTCATCCAAATGCCTGATTATTTGTAATAGTATGGCTAGGTATGGAGCTTTTTATTGCTGCTGAGAATCCCCGAGGCTCTGTTTGGGAGCTCTATACCTAAATGTGAGCTCTGTTTCAATATAGTTAAGCTACTGTTGTTATTCCTTATCAAAAGAACCCAGATGGATTGACTTGTCATTGTACAAATCAATTGTGATAAAATAAGCTGGAAAACCTGTAATGAGTAATCCTTTCTTTTAAAATAGGTTAAAGGAAGATGGAAGTGGAAGTGCTTATGACAAAGAATCTATGGCAATTATCAAGCTGAATAATACAACTGTCCTTTATTTAAAGGAGGTGACTAAATTTTTGGCACTGGTCTGCATTCTTAGGGAAGAGAGCTTTGAACGAAAAGGTAATGACATTTTAAAAAACTGTTTTTATGTTACATTGTCAGGTTTTTGAAAATATATTGAGTGTTAGAAAAATGGTTATCTTAAAAATATGTGTGTGTCTATACATATATATATGTATGTATATGTGTGTGTGTGTGTGTATGTATACATAAAATCAGCTCCCTTTTATACATTACTCATACTCACCTTCTTTTAATCTTACAAGTCAGTTTTTATTTTTAAATAGTTGGACACAATACCTTTATTTCACTTATTTATTTTTATATGGTGCTAAGATCGAACCCAGGGTCCTGTGTGTGCGAGGCGAGTGCTCTACCACTGAGCCACAACCCCAGCCCACAAGTCAGGTTTTTTTATCCAGCCTCTATTACTACAGATACTTCATTAACTGCCCACAGTTTGCTTCCATCTGAACAGTCTACTAAAACTATTTCTTATAAGTTAAACGGGTTACTTTCTTGCTGCATTCAGTGGCATTTTCTCATTCTACAGTCTCTTCAGCCTTCTGAAAATGTGATCCTGTCAGTCCCTCCTTTGGAACTTTCTTCTCCCTAATAAGTCTAATGTTTCAAGTCGTATTGTGTGTGTGTGTGTGTGTGTGTGTGTGTGTGTATATTCTCTGACTGCCTTTCCTGTTTCCTCTGCCTACTTTTTGCAATCCTGTGTTCTTCAAAATTTTCTGCTTGCTTCTTCACTCATTCTCCAGGTGAACTCATCCAGTTTATGGCTTTGGTTGATTTTCTGTATGTGACTGATTCAGTTTTACATCTCCAGCTCTTCCTTGAGCTCATGTTCCAGTCCTATATTTGGAATTATTAGTAAGATATCTCCAGTTGAACATTTGACTGGTTTCTTGGCCATTGAGTTAATCACGGCTGATGATTATTTTTCCATGTGTTTTATGATTCTTTTGGCTGCCCTCTTTCTGTCACTAGTTAAGCCATTTTTCTTAAGCCAGCCTTAGATATATTGTAGTCAGATTATGTGTTGTTTTGCTGAAGAGGCCCTTGCAGCTTGGTTCACAGAGGGAATTTCATGTTCTCCTTTTTCCATTTTTCTATGTTGTTTGCACTGACTTTTCACCTGATCTTATCACTTGTTCCTTGGAACTCCTTTCCATTTCTACTGTCATTGACTCCAGTTCAGGTCCTTATCCCTCCAGGCCTGTAGTGCTACAGTGACCTTCTACTGGATAATATACATTTGACATATATTGTGAAGATCTCCTGTATATCACATTTTATCCAAAGGTAGACTAGTTTTCAGAATTTTTTTTTTTAATGCTGGGAATCAAACCCAGGACTTCATGCACTAAGCTGCTAAGCAGGTGTCCTATCACTGAGCTGTACCCCCAGCCAGAAAATGTTTTGTCATGTTCACTACTCAAGGATCTATAATAGCACTGTATCATTTTCTGCAACAAGATCCCAATCTTTTGCCTGACCTCTTAAAAGAAATATTTCAGATATACATTCATTTTTTGATAAAGCCAAAATGATTATAATATTCACTTTTGAGCTTAAGAACAGCTTAAGAGCTTAAGAACTTTTGAGCTTTTGACACACAGTTGAAGTCTTTTGTATTTCTTTCAGTTGAGGTCTCTTTGTGCTATGTGTATTTTATTTTTCCTATACGTGATTTAGTCTTTTATGTAATACTGATCCCAAAACAATATATTGTGTGTGTTTGTGTGAATGACTTCTTCCTAGATATAAGTTGTTTTCTGAAACTTGCCTGTTTCTTCACATTTAGTATTTTTTTTTTTGACATTTATCCAGATATTGATAACACACAGCTCTAGTTCATTTTCATTGCCATGTAGCATTCTACGGTTAAATAGACTTCACATTTTCTTGTTGGACACTTAGATTATTTAAAAAATTATGAATAGTTTTGTGACAAATGCTCATGAACAGGTTTGTCTTTTTATACATGTGGAGAATTTCTCTAGAGTATGTATTTAGGAATGGTATTTGGGAAAAAATCCATTTTTAACATTCTAGACATTACCAAATTGCTCTCCAGGTGACTTTGACATTTTTACTACTGGCAGTACCATATGGGAGTTCTCATCACTTCTTATCCTTGATAATATTTGATATTGTCAGATTGTTATAATTATTTTCACTCTGGTAGATATGAAATGGTATCTCATTTAGTTCTCCCCTTATTACTGATAGGGCAGGTGTCTCCTCATGGCTGTTCAGGTTTCTTTGGTAATTTTCTAGTTCATATACTTTAATTTTTAAATTTTTATTATTTTTTGTTGTGCTGAGGATTGAACCCAGGGCCTTGTATATGGTAGCTTGGCAAGCACTCCACTACTAACTATATTCCCTGCCCTTTCTTTATTATTTTTAATACTGATTCTTAGTCTTTATTTTTTCCCATTCTACTCTTAAAAAATTTTTTTTTTAACTTGTGGAAAATTTTAGGTGTGTGCAAAAGTACACTAGCCAACAAATCTTCTCTTGGCTTCCTGCTTCAGCATTCATTCAGATGTATTCAATCCAGTTTCCTCTGTATGTTACCCTCCCCCATTAGATTATTATTGTTTTTTTCACTCTTTTTTTGTGAAAACTGTTAAACAGATACAGAATTAAAGAAAAATAGTAAAATAAGCCTCTTTTTTTTCTAAAAAATGGGTTTGATACATTTATTTTTTTATTTTTATTTTTTAAATTCTGCATAATTTTTTTCCGTTTTAATTTTTTAGTTTGTTTTAATTATACATGACAGTAGAATGCATTTATGCACTCTGATATATCATACATAGATGGGATATTGAGTGTACGTGTTGTAGAATCACATTGGTCATGCAGTCACGTGTATATATAAAGTAATAATAAACCTCTTTTAAAAAAACTATCACCAACATTCAATTATAAAAATCATAGCTTGTCTGGTTTCATGTGTTTCTTTTTTGACTCTTGATTATTTTGAAGCAAATCTCCTATATTAAATCATTTTGTCTACATAGGTTTCAGAATATTAGTATTAATAAGCATAAAAAATTAAGAGTGATTTAATATTATATGTTTTTCCCCATTGAGTAGGAAGGACCACCTCAATTTGATTTTAATCTACTCATTTAGACCTGATTCTCAGCACTTTATGCCAAGAGTTCTCTGACGCTCCTCTCTTCAGTCAGCCCAGTTTCTTTCCTGTCTTCCAGTTGTACTGTGTTCTCATTGCCAATTTCCTGCAATTTTCTTTAATTTTTCTCCCCTTTCCTGTGTAATTAAATCTCACCCATTTGCCCAAAGTTCTGCCTCAGCCCTAAAGCTTCCAGGGCTGTTGATTACATTGCCCTGCACTTGGCTCTGCCTTCCTTGGGTTCTTTCACATTTGTAGTCAGTTGACATCACGTTGATTTGATTTGTTTCTTGTGTGTTGGCTTTATGCCTCAGCTAGCATTCCTTGAAGACATGGGCCATAACTGCTGCTGCTTTTGACACATTGATACCCTGTAAGATGCTGTTCAGTGAGTATTTAATAATTTTCAACAAATCAAATATAAATTACTGAAAGGTTATATACTGTATTCAGGCAGGCCACACAGTGTATTTTAATATTTTACTGCTGCTGAATATGAGTTGAAACTTTGATGTTGAAGATATTAATTTGGCCATGGTGATGGTCAAATTGCATGTTTGTTGTTTACAAGAGAATTTGTGACAGTGAATACATATGATGATCAGCTGAGATTGAGAGGTTGCTCTCTGGCTTGGAGGTTTAAGAACTTCAAGTAGTGTTTATGGGTCAGGGTTAGGCTTGGCTACAAATCCATATAACAGATGGACCAAGGTACGCTAGATGGAAGTTTAAGTCCCTCTCAAATTTAAAGAAGTTTGGAGGTAGGAAAGTTCCTGGTAACCTCCTAAGTGCTTCTTTTCCTGCTCTGCCTTTTCTTAGTTCTTGCTTTTCTTCTCATGGTTGCGTTATAATCCAGCCATCTTATCCATATTCCGGACATTAATAAAGAAGAGCTAGGACAGGGGAAAAATACATTGTTTTCCTTTTAAGGGGAGTTCATAAAACTCCCACATACTTTATTTATCTCAGTGACCAGAACTGGTCATGTAACTATATCTGATTGCAAAGAAAACTAGCTCAATAACAGAATGCTCATACACTGTTGTATGAGCACTTCTCTTAGTGCTTCTAAGAGAAGAAGGGGAAAAATGGTTAGTTGATAGGCAGCTAGCCATTTCTGTCACAAATTAGTATCCTTTGTTCAACTAAAATCCTGTATGAAAGCCCAGTTCCTGAAACAGGTTAGAGAGGAAGCTGCCTGCTTGAAGAGGGGGTTCAGGCTGCCTGGAGCTCTGCCTTATGTGCCCTGGGCCCTTCCCAGACTCCAGAAATCCATTGAGCAGTTTGCTTGCATACCCATTTCCTTAAGGTCTTCTTTGGCTGCCCCAAAGACTTGTAAAAGGAGAAGCTTGGTTATTCAAAAAGTATTTACCTTTATATTTCACTGTAAATTTTTTTAAGCAAATTTACCTCCCTAGTTGCTAGATTAATTGCTCTCATGTTTACTGTCAGGCCCTAGAAGTAACTATTGTTAACATTTTGAGTTTATGCTTTATTGTGTTTCCTCAGTGTTTTTTTTTTTTTCCTTACACATCAATTTTTCTCTGTCACAAATGTTTTGTAGTGGATAATTTCACACTTGACATTCAGGAAGCGTGATCTTTTTTTCTCTTGCAGGTTTAATAGACTACAACTTCCACTGTTTCCGAAAAGCTATTCATGAGGTTTTTGAGGTGGGTGTGACTTCTCATAGGAGCTGTAGTCACCAGATCAGTGCCCCTAGCCTGAAAGCATTGGCACACAATGGCACGCCACGAAATGCCATCTAGTCTGAATTACAGCATCAGGGCTCGATGCCAGCTTACTCTTCACTCGAGGGTCAGATGCCACGTGCTGCAGGACATGGGAGCTGCTGCTTGTGGGAATCTGGTGCCTGTTCCACTAGAGACGAGGGGTAGAGTTTCTCATTTGGATGAAAACCCCTTCAACCAGCGGTATACAACTGAAGCTACTATTTCTTTTTTTAAAAATGGCAAAAAAAGGAATTCTAGACACCACAGAACTCAAGTGTGTCTTTCTCCTCTTTTGGGTCCTACTTTAAATAGTTGGGATATTTTGGACCTGGAGATCACACCATTTATTCATCATACCAGGGAATGTTGCCATCAATTCCAGCTGAAAATAATAGAAAAAACTGAATTTTTATATGCTTCCTTTAGGTTTTTGTTTGAGTAGTCTCTAAACCCTGCTTTGCTTAAGTTCTAACACTGCCTCTCTGATCTCAGTTTTGGACATTGCACCTCTAAGACCTTTGAAATGCACTCGCTTGCTAACTCAGAGGACGCATCGTCTGATCGCAGCAAAAGACATTCCTGTGATTGTTATTGAAGAAATGAGAGAAAATTTTGTGCTGCATCAGGTGGAGAGCAAGGCTCAACAGTGGCTGCACCCATTCCCTTGGAAGTATTGAGGAAAAAACTTTGAAGCGGAAGAAAATTTTTACACCTGTGTTTTGAATACCAGATGTATGAGTTTTTTCCTCCTGCGTTTGATAAATGATCATGCTAAATGTAACAAAGGAGTTTAATTTTTTCCCCACAATCCCCTTCTAGGGGAGAAACTCATTATGTCACTGAAATATTTGGTCCACTTTTCTTTAATCTTGATATCAGCCTCCCTATACCTTTTATTCTAAGCTATCTAGATTCTTTAAGAATTGATGTTTGTTGACCACGAATGACTCTAAGGCACTGGTGAACTCCACTGGGTGTTGGAGAGAGCATGCCGTGCCACATGTGTTGTTTAACATACCTTGTCTCCAGTATTCTGACACCAAGTGTCAACTGTGGTACTTACTTCACCTAGGATATTAATTTGTAATTGTTTCTTTTTGTCAGTGGTTGATACCCTTTCTGTTGATTTAAATTTACACATTATTTTTACTCCACATGCCTGGTAGTCATATGTCCCAAAGCCACTGGACCACTTGAGTACTTAAGTGCCACTGTTTAATGGAATATATATATTCAGGTCTGTAAACCTAACAGTGTGACTTGGAGTGCTTCCTTCAGGTGATTTTGACTGTTGAGTATTTACATGGACCATGGTGATATCCAAAAGAAAATGCTTTTATATTTATAGATTATTTCATTGAACTATATATAAAATGGGTATCAATAAATGTATTTACTCCAAAATCAGTTTTCCTACTTGCCTAAGGTATGAGAGGGTGGGGTGATGGAACCTTGGGTTGTCCCACTCTGTCCTCTTCCCATCAATCATCCATTTTCTTTTCTTGTCTGCCTTATTTGGTTAATGTTTCAGGACTTAGAGTTCTATCTTGATATGGGAATTGTGTGCAGACATCTTCCCTGGCCCATTTCTTCTGTGGGATAGGAGGTATAGACTCAGATGAAATGTGTTTTGGTTGGGAGTTGGACATCAGTAAACGTTACTAGTGGGGAATTGTCCAAGTTCTGGCATGACTGATGCATTGTATCCAAGCTAAGGAATCAAAGATGAGTGACATAGAATACTGTTAGCTGGAATTGGTACCATCTTCCTTTCTTTCTTTTTTTTTTTCCCCAAGTTCTCGAGATACTCATTACTGACTCTTAAGTGTCTTTTAAGCCATTTATCTGCATACATGCAGAGCCTAACACAGGGGTTAAGCTGATGAGAGAAAAGTATACGTTAGTTTATCAACAGGATGGAGATAGAGGTTGAAAGATCTTTACTCTCGTATTTGGAATACTTAAGAAGTTAGTTTTAAAACTAAAATGGAAATCAAAACAGTTTGCAAAAAACCTCTAACAATACTGTCTAATCCTGTATCATTTTTTTAGATGATAGAAACTGAGGCCCAGAGGGGGTAGAGAGCCTTGTTGAGGGTTATAAATGATTATATAATTTAAACCCCAAATCAAGACACTGTTGAAAGAGGAAGAGAGACTGTTCATAATTATGCCTGAGCAATGGGTGTAAACTGGCTCTTTCCCAGGTAAACCAAGAGTGGCCAAACTAGTCACAGATGTAGTTAGTGGCAAAGCAGGGCTTGAACTCCAGAATTGGCAGCCCCACACTGCCTATCTTTACCTCCTTCCTCAGACCCTTGTTGATTAAATAGAGATACTACTTCCAGATATATATGGTACAGCTGTGTGTGGTGGTGTATGCTGGTAGTTTCAGCTACTCAGGAGGCTTGGGGCCAGCCTGGGCTACACAGACCCTCTCTGTAAAAAAAAATTGTGTTGCATAGATGCCCCTTAAATATTGCTTTTAGCTATGACTACTGAAAAATTTAAATTCAGGGAGCAATTAAAGAGAATAGTGAAATAGAATTTAATTGAACGTGAAACGCAGAGTAATATAAAAATGTTAAGGGGGGTTTAGGTGAAATGTTTTGCATCCCGGTGGACATTGTTGTGAAAGGCAGTGAGTGAGTAGCTCCTCCAGCTTTTCAGTTTGGCTGTGTCCATTTACTTAGCATTTGGCCTCTAGGTGGCGGTGTTGTATTACATAAACACACAGCTAGCTTTCTGACTTCTATTCTGAAAGTTGATTTTTGACCAACCCAAGTAGAGATTCAAAGAATTTCTGAACTTATTTCCCCTAAGATAATATTCAAGACTGATATGAGTCATTATATTGGAAGTGGAGCAACTTGCAACATTTTTAAAGAAAAGACTGGATAGGGACGAAGATCATAACATCATTTGCTTTATGAATTATGAGTTAGAGGCTTTAGGAAGATAGCTCTATACACATTCCTATAGCAGGCAGAACTCTTGCTCCTTCAGCCATCTGTTGTAGATATGTGTTTCCTTAAAGACTTCCATGGAAGGAAATGCAACATCTGAATTAAAATACATCTTTCATCATTTTCCTTTGCCTTAAATGAGGTTTGTTGAAATTATTTCACATGTGGGTTTGAGAGAGGGTATTACAAAAAAAAAAAAAAAAAAAAAGGCTGCATCACATTACCTTTCCATGGGCACTTGCTTTTCTTTAAGAACCTCATCTCTGTAACCCCCAGCTATGACTTTGTTCTGCAGAGACAAATTTTAATGTAAAAGTAACTGGATTCATGGATGCATGTTCATATCTGTTTGAAATATTGCAAAGAATAGTTACAATGAGGAACTGAATGGCAGGAAATCAGCCCCTCCCCAACTTCAGTGAGCCATTTTTACCAAATGTGCTGCCCTCAAGGTGTTGCAATTTCCACCTGAAGATTCTAAGATTTTAAAATGCACCTTCTAAACTGAGTGATCAAATATCAGAAGGAATGTGGGAGATAATTAATTTGATTCATTACATCATAACCTGCAGAGCTTGGATTATACAAATGGAATATTAATCTTATGCAGTGTTCTTTTTGTTTTTCTTTTAAAAGGAGGTGCTGTTACACAGTTTTAGTAAATTATGCATATCTTGTCGTTTCTTTTGATGTCCTCTCCTGTCTTTATTCAGATTAGCAGAGTATACCGAGAATTCCAGTGTTGCTTTTTTTGTGTTGCAGTTAATGAGTCAGCTAGGAAGGGAATGCTAATTTTTTTAAATTATTTTTTTGTATTTGTACACAAAAACATAAGTGTATACATTACGGGGGTACCATGTAATGTTTGACACATGTATACACCACATAATGTTTAAATCAGATTAAACATGTTTTTCTCCTCAAACATTTACTATTTCTTGGTGGTGAAACTTTCAAATTCTCCTAGCTTTTTGGAATGTACAATGCATAATTGTTATCTGTAGTCCCTATGCTATGCAGTGGCACACCAGAGCTGCTTGCTCCTAAGCACCCATTGGTCAACCTTTCTCCATCTGTCCTGGGAATGTTGTTTATTTGAGCAGACCAGGCCTATATTATTTCAAAAAAGCAGTACTGGAATTCTCTGTGTTGACTTTGTTCCAGCAAAGGCACTGGCTTTACGGCTTTGGAAGATGGACTTAGAGGTATCCTATAGCCCTACAACCCATTTTTATGATACTTGTCTTTTTTTTTTTTTTTTTTTAATGATACTTGTCTTGACATTGGAAATGGAGCTGTTGATCATTTCCATGTGTGGAGATTGTTTTTGTGTTGCAGTGTAGTCCTCGCTGGTTAGATGTTTAAGACTGAGGCTCTTGGGCTCTTTCTTTACCACATGGTTTCTATGGCAGTCTGTTGGTGGAAACAGGATGGTTGAGATAGACCATTTGGCAAAAAGGAACTCTCATAATTATGAGTCAGTAGAATGTCCCTTGACAGTTTGGTTATAGAGCTAGATGGAGGGGAAGGAGCTGAGCTGCAGAAGGGGCCAGAACTCTAGGGAGGGCCATGGTGAATCTGTGGAAGGAGGATGATGAGACAGAATTTGGAATGGTCCTTATATCAAGAAGGAAATAAGAGGGCTGGGATTGTGGCTCATTGGTAGAGCACTTGCCTAGCATGTGTGAAGCACTGGGTTTGATCCTCAACACCACACAAAAATATATAAATAAAGTAAAAAAAAGGTCTATATTCTAAAAAAAAAAAAAAAAAAAAAAGAAGAAGAAGAAGAAGAAGGAGGAGAAGGAAAGAATGCTCACCACCAAAATGGAGCACAGAGACCTGAAGATGAGAACAAATGGGAGGATTTTTTCCTATGAATATTGGTGTCCTTGAAAGACCTTCAAACTAGAAATCTGGGCTTCTATACCTCTGTAAGTAGTTGACTCACCTTGTCCAAGGTAGCATTAAATCCTTAAATTATTTATTTATTTATTTATTTTTTTGTGTGGTGCTGGGGATTGAACCCAGGGTCTTATGCGTGCAAGGCAAGCACTCTACCAACTGAGCTATATCCCCAGCCCAAATTATTCTTGATTTCTTTCAGATCTAAGATAATGGTTGGAAAAGAACTTGTTTAACTGGTATTAGTTTTCATTTTACTCCGGTGTAGGCCTTTCCCACATTTTGTCTCAATTTTAATGGAAGTTTCAATGATTGTCTTTCTTGTTTTTCTTCTAGTTACAAGGTTTTTATTAAGAAAATAAAGAATCATGCCTTTCCGTTAATCCTACTTTCCCACCACCTTCGGAGATTTTTAAATTAGTCCCATCTAGTCCTCAACTAAATTTTCCTTTACATTAGAGTTCCATTAGACTTCAAGAAATGAACTCTCTACAAGGAAAGCATTGTTTCTAAGAAGTCAAGATTCATAATTAGGATATTAATACCTTTATTATATAATAAAACAAGGTCCCAAATGAAAATCCTACAACGATGTACATATGTAAATATTACCGTAATCATTTTTAACTAAATGATTTGTCTTTTAGATTCTTTAAAAAAATCTGGACTAGCCTATAATGATGATAATATTATTTATCATCATCATTATTAGCAGTAGCATTAGTATCTTAATGATTCAAATGTTTATAACTTGCCAGCCCTTATTCTGAGAGCTGTACTTGTACCTTTTCACCGGATCCACCCAATGTCATGGTGGTTGTAGCCCATTTTACAGATGAGAAAACTGAGGCACCAAGAGGAAGGAATTCCCAAGAACATATTTACTAGTTTTGTTAGTAGTGCTTGGACTTGAAGTCCTGTCTAGCTGAGGTTAAAACAAAGTTCAGCCTTCTTGGTGATAAAATTCCTTATAGGTCAAATCTACAAAAAGAAGAAAGGTAAATAGCTACAGGAGGACCCCAGACAATTCTACCTGGAGCTCTTTGAGAGGAACTGCATCACTCATTGTGGCAGAGGCATGGTACCTGTCACCAAACACTCTTCCTCTTAGGCACAGGGATGATATTTCTATCCTCCCTTGAAGTTAGGGATGGTGGTGTCAGTTCTAGCAATAGAATGTTAATAGAAGTGATGTACACTGCTTTAAGGTCCAGCCCATACATCCTCTCCTGCATTTAGTGCTCCATGCTCTTTCTCTTCATGATAGATCACTTCAGATGAGTTCATTAACATTGGGTGTTGACTTAGAAAGAACCTGGATTCCTGGGACACATTGTGGAAGCCTCATCTGCTGACCAGAAACACTTGCATTGAACTGAAACATAAGCAGCCTAGAGATGGCTCTGTTTAAGCCTTTGAGATTATGGGCTTTATTTGTCATAGCGGCTGATCTTATCCTAACGTATACACCTAAACAACATTTGGGTCATTATTTTTGGTTAAGAGCTCAGACAGTGAGTGAAGAAGGAAATATCTTTGTAAAAAATGAATTAAAGAGATCCAGTTTTTGTGACCAGTTGCTAATGAATAGCAACGATGACGACAACAACAAGTGTTTCTCAGGAGAAGGTGATTATAATGATTACAGAATTTGAAGTCTGGGGTTTGTTGGCTGCTCTTCAGAGCAAAATTCTAATGCAGGGAGTTCACTGAATGAACTAGAGGCATTCCAAGAGCTACTGAGCTTGTGTGCAAAATGGATGTAGGGAACTGGACCTTTTGCTGCATTTGAGAAAGTGAAGAACTGGTTATGAAACTGAGCACAAGCCACTTATAAGGCTTATTTGGAACAAAAATGCAAAACGGAACTTGACTGCGTGTTCTGGATTTCAAATTTTTTCCCCTGGGATTTCCAGTTCTGCCCCTTTTACGTGTAAAACCTATAAAAGGAGCTCTTTTCTTGAAGCTGATGCATTAGCATGTGGCACAAGTGTCAACGAGCAAGTAAAACAGTCTGGGCAACAGAATCATGAATTTAAAGTGTACCTGTCTTGTGGTCAAGTAGAAGGCAATAGTTTTAGGAATAAAAGTAAGCCTGGATCATTGGTTTACCCATCTGGCCTACTGGCCTCTTTTCTCTGTGTCCAGGTATCTCCGTTGCTTGGCTCAGGGGTGGGGGTTTGCTCCTCCTCTAGCAAGCCTTCCTTTCCTTGCTCTCTTCTTCTTGATCTCACTTCTCCCTAGGTCTCCTGGCCCTTATTTTAGTCCATCTCATTGCCTCCTTTGCTTTTGCTGTATGTTTAATAAAGTCCTGTCAGGGCTATCACTAGGCCAAAGGCCAGGGCCAGGGCATTGGATCCCTTCTGTATCCAGCTGGGCTTTTGCTGCACACTCAGTATGGACTTGGCTGAGCTGGGGAACAATGGGAACGAGGTAACAACAGGAGAGGGAGATGTAAATGCTGACCCACTGGAGGCTGTTAGGAGCAGTGATTTTTTTGGGGGGGTCTTGCTGTGAACAGCACATGATGTGCTGATTGTCTGCTCTGGGCTGGGATTCAAACCAGCGGCTTATTCACTCAGTCACAGATTTATTAAATGCTTACTGGGTGCAAAGCTCTATTTTAGGTTTTAGGTTCTATCAGTGAACAAGACAGCAGAATTCTTGCCATCATAGTATTGACTGAATTTCATCTTGACAAAAGTTAGGATGCAGATAGGGAAAAATGAGCTCTGTAGAAGTGAAGTGTTTCCCCTGAAGATTCCCAGATGGTGAGTGAGTGTTGATCTTCTGACTCCAGGTCGCACAGGCTTGTCACCATACCAAGAGGGTGAGAGGAGAGATGAGAGGCAATTTAAGGATTCTGTTTAGTGTGTGTGTTTACATAAGAATGGAAAGCTTGCCAGGCGTGGTGCTACATGCTTGTAATCCCAGCGGCTTGATTCCCAGGCAGATGAATCACAAGTTCAAAGCCAGCCTCAGAAACTTAGGCCCTAAGCAACTTGGGGAGATCCTGTCTCACAACAAAAAAATTAAAAAGGGCTGGGGAAGTGGCTCAGTTATTAAGCACCCCTGGGTTTAATCCCTGGTACCAATAAAACAAAAACAAAGGAAAAGAAAAAAAATGAAAGCTTGAGGTCAAAATTTACTATAAATAAAACAAGAAATAGGAAAAACATGTAATAGACAAAGTTAATATTTTTAAATAGAATTTTACAAATCAGAAATGCATTCCAAAAATAAAATTAGGAAAAGACATTAATTATGCATATAAGCACAAAGTAGAAGAGGCCAAAAACATAA